CTCCGGTAGTAGTATGTGTACCCTTAACGCGAGTGTCCTCGGGATCGATGCTCTTCTCTAGAGGTAGTGTTTCCAAGTGACAAAACTCTCCAGCACAGAATGGCATTATAGTATTTATTATAAGGAATAAATCGATACAGTGATAGAAAACGAAACATAAATCCCCACAGTGAACAAGATTTACACAAATAATATGAAAATACACATTTGAAAAGACTCATCACATTTCTTGGACTCCTTTTAGTCTCTTCGCTCCTTCGCCGCCGATCTAAATCAGGAGCAGATGTCTTCTTCTAGGAAGCGGGCCAGCCAAGATCGGCCGTGTTCCTTGACCGACTTCCGGAGGGTAGTCAGCTGGACGCGGGGGCTGGGGCCCCTAGCGCTCGTCGTGCTCGCCGGCCTGCTCGCTGGACTGGGGCAGCCCGGGTCGGCGCACCAGGTGCAGCACGGGGTCCTCCACCAGGCGCCAGGGGTCGTACGGCACCTGCCCAAAGACACGTTGTAAGTACACGGCGCCGAAGGGCCTGGAGAACGAGACTGCGCTAGGAACCTTTACTAAGAAAAATCAGCTTACATCCCTCCTCCTCCACCCCCCCCCCCCAAAAAAAAAAGAAAAACACACACACAGGAAAAAACAGAAAAAAACACAGAAAAACTCAAGGAAAAATCGAGAACACAATAAGAAAGATCCTGAATGAATAATTAGATGAATAAAAGAAAAAGAAAAATCAAGAGAAGAACAGAAAAATCTGTGTGCGCTTGTATTTAGAGTAAACCCCTCGGCGCAGGGTGTATAGACCTACCCGATGCTCGCCGCGGCCCTCCAAGAAGTAGCGGTACAAGGGCAGGTCCTCGGCCAGGATGTCGTCGGCGGGCCTGCCCCCGAGGCTGACGGACGGCGGCCCTGAGGGCGGCAGCGCGGCTCCCGCCGCCCCCACGGCGCGCTTGCCGCTCTTCCAGCCCCGCGAGTAGCTGAACGTCTGCCCCACGGCGCAGTCGGCCAGGAGAAGCGCGGCCATCGCGGCCGCCAACAGCACGATCATCGTGTAGCGCACCATGCCTGCAACGGGAACAAACGCATGCACGCTCGACTGCTCGGCGATCTGGAATTTTGTCTTAACTAGCGCAAGTACATAAATACACGTAATTCACGTAATAGATATATTATGAATATCAGGAATGTTAATCCAACATTTGGAAAGTAATATGTTTTTAGTATATAACCTATATTAAATTTGCAGTTAAACACCTGCAAGTATAATAAACTTGCCAATGCTTGCCATTTGAGCACTTACAGCAGGTATCAGTGCAATACGGTTCAATTTTCACCCCCCCCCCCAAAAAAAAAAACAACACAACAACAACAACAAAACAAACAAACATCGGGGTGTCGAACCGCGCGACTGTGCGCCGCGGGCTTCGGCAGCCCAACGCACTCCCCTGCGCGTCGCTGCGCCCGCCGCCACGGCGCGCACCGCGTCATCCTCCGGGCCTCGCCTTCGCCTCACCTTACCTGAGGAAGGGTTGCGCGCCCTCGGACACTTGCAGGTGATCGAAGCGGTGGGCCGCGGTGTACTGCTGTCCGTCGGGGAACTCGAGTCCAAGTGGCTCGCTCGGAGGGGGCCAGCACTGCTTTTATATCTCCTCGAGGCAAACAGAGGGTTGCCTGCAGGTAGACCGCTGGGTAAGGGTGAAGGTGAAGGGGTGAAGTGGCAGCCCTGGCTCCACTCAAATGCCCCCTCGCTGCCGTCAGAGTGGAGTAGCCGGCAGGGGCGCGCGAGGCTCCTCCGGGAATGGTGATTGAATTGCAAGGCAATTGAACGAAACGGCGGCGTGACTCAGGGCACATTTTTCATTGTTTCCCGTGACTGGGAAAAAGGAAACAGACGCACCCATGTTGGCATGATAATAGAAAATTGGTATCGGTAGGTTCTTGACTCACAGATAAAATCTGGCTGGAACCCACACCGAAGTATAAGCAGTTCAAAGATCGGTATTGCACCTGCTCTGCGGTTTGCGGTGGGCTCTTCTTATTGCTTTTGCATTACGATATACAGACGCGGTACTAGTTTAAGAGATCACTTCTCTGGTGAAACTTGCGTTGGCAGCTGTCATAAAATCAGTATGAGTGATCAACATCCGTGATCTTGTTGGAGACGGAATACACCTTGAGATTCCAATTTTTTGTGAGTATTTAACTTACAAATTAACACCTTTCTTAGTTTTCATTCTCTCCGTTCGAGGTTGCCTCTACCACTGCCAGTTTCCTCCAACTTGTCTCCAACACCTATGCATTCATCAGAAGACTCAACGTAAATATCAAAATAACACTCAGTCTGCTCAGCGTCCCATGACAATGCTTTATTCGTTTACCAGGGAAAATTAATTAATGCCCTTTAAAAAAAATTAAATTGTTTTCGTTTTCTCTATCACGGCCGATATACATAGCTGCCGTCAGCGTTGAGTATGATCTCCCACCCCATCAGTCCTCCGCAGTCCGACTTCGAGTTCCGCGACGAGACGATCGCCGGACGGCCGGACCAATACGAACTTCGCGCTGGCTCCAGTGCTGCCACGCTAATCTTGTTGGCTTCTACCTCTTCGCGAGCTGCTTGTTTCTATTCGTCTGCCCAGAATATTAACCAGACTATTGAATTATTTTTATTACAGAATAAATGATGTTTTCGTGTCTTAATCTCAACAAAGACAGTCACTAGGGTAGAAAGTCTGGGTGAGATTTCTTCGATTTCATGCAAGTAGGTTGGCAACATGTCCGCGACGAGCAGAACGTTACTCGCATCGCAGAGGGCGGTGGGCGCTTTCACTTTTCTTGGTTTTGTTGTTCTTCAGTCAGTCGAGTTCATAACATGGCTGCCATGCGATGATTCGTAAGTCGCGTAGTTTACGAACGTGTTTATGACTCACCTCCGTGTTTCCTCGCGCTTCCTCCGCCTTAATGTACTCAGAAAGGGACGTTGGGTGGTGTCCTGTGTGATATCGCCCCAAAACTTATTGTGATCGACCAACGACAATGGAATCTTTGAGAAAATGGTTCTACAAACCCAAGGTAAGTGGACAAACAAGGCTAGGACTACCATCCCATACGTTCACACAGTACATGATTTGGTTTCCATACTTTAGTGAACGCTTATTTTGTTGACAAACATTTCCAATCCCTATGATTAATTTACAATTACTGCTGAGAAGGGCGCTGTAAAGTTTCTGAACTGGATACCCCCAGATGTGACCTAGAAAATACATCGTAGTAAAAAAGAAATTTAACTTTCTTTCTTTGTGTGCTCCCCAAATCTTACTACGGTTGTTGGTGTTATAATTTTTCTTATTATATCTTTATACCCAATGTTGATAAATGTTCTTGGTCTGGTTCTTTTTAAAAAAAAGTAAGAACATAATGATCAACACTCAATGTTATTGTTTTGATAAGTCCAATCTTCTCTCAATACAAAACTCTTTAGAGCGTTTTATCTTTACCTAACTATTGTTAGTAGCCCAGGATCGCTATAAACAGTATGTGCACGTAGCATTTTAATTTTTTCAAATTTAAAAAACAATCCAACCATAATTGTTTTGTTACAATTTAAGAAATATTATCTATTTATTCTACTTTAAAGTGACAGAATGTTGATATGCCACATATTCGAAAGAAAACGGAAAGTAATGTTCCATTCCAATTCAAAGTTATCAAAATGTTAACATATTAAGGTTACTCCTCATTACTGACATGAGTCTAGGAAAGAGTGTTTGTGTTGTCTCTGTCGGTCTGCTCTTCCAAGCTTTTAAAAACTACAGAAAATATTTTAATTCATTTTATGACCTGTGGACCATTTTTAAATGAATCGATTGATTGTAATTGGTTTTTGCTCGTACCCCTTGCATGGTAAAACAGTCTCTTTCATTAGATATATCGAGGCTTTAATGCTGGTTGTTGCTTTTATATTTGTTGCCGCCATTTGTGTAAACCCTCATCAAGGTCTTGTCATTGACATTCGGTGTGGGTCAAGCTCTTGGGTGTGATCTGTTATTGACTTTATTGCAAAGCGAGTGACCGCGTTCGACCTGGCGTGGCCAGGCGTGGCGTGGCCTGGCCTGGCCTGGCGTGTTAAGGTGTCGTCTTTTTGGCTGAGGAGGAACAGGTCGCTGTGCTCGCCGCCGTGCACGACCGACCTCTGGCTTTGTTTTTCCCGGAGCTCCCCGCGCCCCGCACTTGCCCCGCACTTGCCCCGCACCCCAGCTCACTCGCCGCCACCAGGAGCAACATCCCATTATTCATCTGTATTCCTCCCGGTAACGCCGTCATGTGTGTCGCCACCGTGTGTCACATGGTGTCACGTGACAATCCCGTCACTCTCCGTGACACGGCCCGTGACGGCCGCAGCGGACGCCCTTTCAGCAGCGCGCGGCTATCTCGCCCGTACGTGTCGCTGTCCGTGTAACCGTATCGCCGTGCCTTTGCTTGCATCTCGCTATCTCATCTCTCTATTTTCAGTATGTACTCGCTCTGAAAGGGGGGATGGGACGGGAGGTGTGAGCCCGCTCCGCGCGCAAGCCGCAGCTGAGAACGCCCC